GTTTATTTATTTTTGGGACAGAGAGAGACAGAGCATGAACGGGCGAGGGGCAGAGAGAGAGGGAGACACAGAATCGGAAACATTGCCTGCCTTTTTAAATGTCTTCTCCCCTTCCCTTGGGATTTAAATCAGAAAACCTGGGTTCAGGTCTCAGGTCTACAGTTTGGAAACTGTGTCTCCTGGGACAAATTATTTAAGTTCTTTCAGCCTGTTTTCTCCTTGTAAAAATATAATGAGGATTGATATGAAAAATAAGTTATACAAGACATGGAAAAGCTCCATACAAAAGCTACTATCACATGAATGTATTTCTTCCCCCATGTGTGTATTTTTTTTTTCTTTAAATGTTTCATTTACTTTTGAGAGAGAGCACAAGCAGTGGAGTGCAGAGAGAAAGAGGGGAACAGAGGATTTGAAACAGGCTCTTTGCTGACAGCAGACAGCCAGATGCAGGGCTTGAACTCACAAACTGTGAAATCACGACTTGGGCTGAAGTCAGATGCTTAATCAACTGAGCCACCCAGGCGCTTCCCTCCATGTGTGTACTTTTATTTTTATTTATTTTTTAAAAATGTTTATTTATTCTTTGAGAGAGAGAGAGCGAGAGCATGAGCAGGGAAGAGGCAGAGAGAGAGAGACACATAATCTAAAGCATGCCCCAGGCTCTGAGCTGTTAGCAGAGCCCGACGCAGGGCCTGAACCCACGAACCGTGAGACCATGACCTGAGCCGAAGTCGGGAGCTCAATCGACTGAGCCATCCAAGTGCCCCCCACCCCCATGTGTGTATTTTTAAGGAGAGAAAGAAGGGCAATTTTGGTATGTTCATTCATTCAACAAGTATTTACAGTGTACTCTCTCTGCCAGCCACTATTCTAGGCATTTAGACTGTATCAGTGACAATGGGTAGGAGGAGTGGGGCAAGTTGCAGTAGGCCTCACTGAATGAGGACGTGAAGAGTTGAAGGAAGGAACCGAGAAGGTATCTGGTAAATGGGTTCTGGGCGGTGGAAACTGCTTGAGCAAAGGCCAGTGTGGCAGGAGTGGAGTGAGTAAGGCAGAGAGAGCGGCTTTTACTCTGAGTGAAATGAGAAACCATAAGAGAATGGTTTTGAGCAGAGGAATCACAGAATCTGACTTGTTTTTTTAATTTTTTTTTTTAACATTTATTTATTTTTGAGACAGAGAGAGAGCATAAACAGGGGAGGGTCAGAGAAAGAGGGAGACACGGAATCTGAAACAGGCTCCAGGCTCTGACTGTCAGCACAGAGCCCGACGTGGGGCTCGAACCCACAGACCGCGAGATCATGACCTGAGCCCAAGTCAGACGCCTAACCGACTGAGACATCCAGGCGCCCCGGAATCTGACTTGTTTTAAAAGGATCATTGGCTGCTGTGTTGAGAATAGACTCTAGAGTCTATAGGAGCAAATTGTTAGGAAGTTTTTACAGTAATTCAGATGAGAGATGATGACAGTGGTAGTGGCACTGACTGGTACCAGTCGTTGGATTTCAGATATTATTTTGGTAGACCTAAAGAGATTTCCTAATGGAAACAGATATAGGAGTATGAGAGAAAGAGAGGAATCAAGAATAACTTCATGGGATGCTTGGCTGGCTCATTGGGTACAGCATGTGACTTCAGATCTCAGTGTCATGTTGAATATAGACATTATTTAAAAAAAAACAAAAAACAAAAAACTCCAAAGCTGGAAGAGAATGTAATTCTTTTAAAATTCCCTCATTTAAACCACACTGACATCCTCATTTAGTCTTTTTAAAAAATAAAGTTCAGGGGAGGCGCCTGGGTGGCTCAGTCAGTTAACTGTTCGACTTCAGCTCAGGTCATGATCTCACCATTCCCGAGTTGGAGCCCCGTGTCAGGCTCTGTGCTGACGGCTTAGACCCTGGAGCCTGCTTCAAACTGTGTCTCCCTCTCTGTCTCTGCCCGGCCCCTGGTTGTGCTCTCTCTCTCAAAAATAATAAACATTAAAAATAGGTGTTAAAAAAAATTATTATTTTTTTTAACATTTATTTATTTTTGAGAGACAGAGACAGAGACAGAGCACAAGCAGGAGAGGGGCAGAGAGAGAAGGGGACATAGAATCCGAAGCAGGCTCCAGGCTCTGAGCTGTCAGGACAGCGGCTGACGCTGGCTCGAACCCACTAACCATGAGATTATGACCTGAACCGAAGTCGGATGCTTAACCTACTGAGCCACCCAGGCGCCCCTCATTTAGTTTTTTCGCCCGATACTCAATTTTTTTGTCCTAGTGAGAATACAACCAATTCATTTCCAAATGATTTCCAACCAGTAATGTAGAGTATCAAGAACAACAACAACAAAAATATTACAATCTACTTGCAAGAAGATAAATAAAGTGTGGCTCTTCAACTAGAATTAACTCTAAAAATGTAACCTCAAAACAATGGGGGGCTCCAACCCATTCTTGGTTTAAAAAATGAAACAATACATAAAAAATTGATTTCTTACTCTGTGGGAGTATACTGCGCCTATATCAATCTTGTATGGATTCATTTTCTGCATCTCCTTTTCCAGATCACTCTGGTTGTTGAAGGATTGGTAGCGAATGTAAATATCATCTTTCAATGTGAATGAAAATTCACGGTGTTGAAAGTAATTCTTTGTCACTGCAAAATAAATATACATTTTTAAAGTTAATTTGGTATTTTATTTAGCACAGGGCATTATAACATCAACCAATGAGAAGATATTTTGAATAAGCCTGTGTGCTCAACACTGTGCTACATGCTAAAAAAAAGACTTCCTAATTTGAAGGGGCTTACTATCCTGCATCTGATAGGAAAAAGTAAAAAGAAAAAGATGCATTAAGTGTTTTAAATATGTAATGCCATCTGTCTCTCTTCGGTGGGCACTAATAAATTCAGCTGCGAAGAGGTCAGTACCTCTCCTCTCCCGGGAGATGCTCCGCTTGTCCCTGATACAGAACAGGCCTCTGTAGTTAAAGCCATGACCCGGTAATCTCCCTGGTTCAGGCGCCGCGGCCGGTAAACGGGGCACCGAATGTCAGTCTGACCAGGTAGAGGAAGGAGCAGCGGCTCGGCCATTCTCTGTGGCCGGAGGCTGGTTACCCTAACCTCTCTTGGCCCATTTACACCTCAGAGGTGGTGGCGAGGTCTCGAGATAATGCGCGAAGGCGCCTGGCACAAAGCCTAGTGCATAGGAGGCACTTCGTATTGTCATTCTAAGGTACCCTCCCAGAACCTCCTCACCGTCCCTTCCGAGCCACTACCCACTCCGCTCCCGGCTTCCATCACCTCCACCATAGTTGAGCCAGCGATAGTATTGGGCGTAGGGAAAGAGTCTCCGGTAATAAAGTTTAAGAAGCTCCGGCAGCTCGGCGGGGTCAAACGTCTCCATGGAGCGCGGGGCTCACTGTCTGCAGGACTACGACAAGAATTGGCGGGAATCACACAGCCGGAGCTTCTGTCACTACGCAGGCACGCTGTGGCCGTGGCCGGGCGTCTGCGCCGGCTGCTGGGAATTGTAGTTCTCTCTCTTGGGGTTGGCCTGGGCGTGGCGCAGTCTCTGCCTATCAGCACCCACACTAGGTCCACCACCCCTGTGGGTAGAAGGAAGCTGCCTCCTTTCCCGGAAGCTGTGCAGAAAGGTGAGCGCTTGAGCCTAGGTTCTTAAGATGAAGGAGAAAATGATGTTCTCCGCTAACTGTATGAATGTCTTAGAAATAACGCATTTGAACAATGTAAGCCAATATCTTTTTTAAGAGGGTTTGAAAATTAATTCTTCATAGAATTATTAGGTACGATATGTGGAAATAAACGAAGACCAACCTAATGAGAAAATCAGACTATTCAGAGCTTGCTATATAGCAAGGAGGTCAGCTGCAGACACTTGAGTTTTGGCAGGGTCAAAGGCAGGCAGAAGAGTGGAAAAACTTTATAGTGGAGGGGGAGGGGAGAAGGTTTCAGGCTTGTTTGCATGGAAAAGCTGTAGTTGGACTAACTAGGAGCAGGGGCATTCTATGTGATTGATTCGGGGCTCATATTTGGCTTCCTCTGGTTGGTCCTAAATTGGAAGTGGCCACAAAATCTAGGGAGGCTGTCATTTATTAATCAAGTCCTGGCCATTTTGGGCCAGTTGCTACAGGGCTTTTGGTTTGGCTTCCTAAACTATCACTAGAGTTAGCAGTCTGACTTCTGTAAGTCTGACTTATAGCAGGCTGGCTTCCTGAGCTGTTTATTTTAGATAAGGGGATTGGTTTCCTGGGTAGGCTTATTCAGGTTGTGGGTCAGAGTTCTGTTTTTTGGTTTTTAAGTAAACTCTGTGCCCAAAATTGGGCTAGAACTCATGACCCTGAGTTGCATGCTCTACTGACTGAGCCAGCCGGGTACCCTCAGAATTCTGTTGTTTTTATATATTATCTGGCTACTCTTTGTATATTCAGTCTCTCAAATAGAACACACCAGGGATCTTGCAATATCATGGAGAGCTTTCCGAGTAGGAAAGGAGCCTGTTTGCTGCTAATGTACAAATCTGCCAATCAGTTGTACCTAGTAAAGATACACCTCATTGCAAATGTGGACTGGGGTGGGCAGTCTATAATCACAAAAATATGTCATTTGAAAGCCATTATTTTCATGAATTTTATGTTTCCAATACCGATAGAAGAGAAAGGAGAAAATAGAATCTCTAGTAAGTTATTATTAGCCTAATCTTGAAAATGATCACTGGTCTCTCAGCTCCTGTGGACAAAGTGGTCAAAAGCAGGCTCTGGGCAGACTATACTTATTTGAATATTCCTTAAAATCTGGTTTCCTGCACAAATCTTAGTTGATTTTTACAATCCCTATGCATTTTGTTTTGGGTGAATTTTGTTATTGGGAAAGTCTTCACTCTTTTCCAGAGTGAAAAGTGCTTTTTTCCAGAACCACTTGTCTCTGGACTTTTTTTTTTTTTTTTTTTTTTT